TGAGGTGTTGAAGCTGTCAGTAAATGGGATGTATGTCCGAGCTGCTGGGATGAGTGGGAGAAGGGCTGATTGAAGGTTTTGGGGGTATACATGCAGTGTGAGGGGCCTAAATGGCAGGTGAGGAACTTTCAGGGGTCTGTGTGTGGGTTTGTCATGTGTGGGGCAGGGCGCTTGGCTGAAATGTCCTTGTGCAGGAGCTCAGCATGCTGGAAGCTGTCAGTAAATGGGATGTATGTCCGAGCTGCTGGGATGAGTGGGAGAAGGGCTGATTGAAGGTTTTGGGGGTATACATGCAGTGTGAGGGGCCTAAATGGCAGGTGAGGAACTTTCAGGGGTCTGTGTGTGGGTTTGTCATGTGTGGGGCAGGGCGCTTGGCTGAAATGTCCTTGTGCAGGAGCTCAGCATGCTGGCCTTGTTGCACCGAGGGGCCAGCTTTTGAACCTGGGCCTGTGCTGGAGTGCGGTGTTGCTATGGGAATAGCATGTGGCTCTAGTGACATTCCGCTGTTTGGGTGACTGGGGTTGGTCATGCTCATGTTGCTTGCAGCCCCTCTATCAAGGCTCCCTGCATGGGAGGGTGAGGACTGCTGTAGTCACTGGATGTACTGCTGGGCCCTCCCTGCTTGTAACTCAGAAAAGGGCAACATGAATGAATTAGGGGTATGCAATGAGGAGTAACAGTAGTAATTAGGAGCTTGAATTCTGACTACCTAGTCAGTGCCGTGTGTAGCCACGTGCAGGTAGTTTGAACTACGGGGCATTTAAAAAGGGCAGCACTTGGGAACATGCATATTTAAATCCCGGGCTTCATTTGCAAGTTCGAATGCCTACATTAGCCGCCCTAGTTTGAACTAGGGTGGCAGTGTAGACATACCCCCAGAGCTTGACCACTGCGGATTCATGGTGCTCCGAAAGTGCTGGGAGGGAAGGAGTAGGCAAGTGCAGGACTCCAGTGCCCTAGTGCAGTGGTCCCCAACCTTTTGAGGTTGTCGGGCGCCAGGGGGCGTGGCCGTTCGCCCGCCGGGCGCCAGGGGGCCATGGTCTTAGCCCAGGTGTGAAATTAAAACTAGGGATAATTGGGTGATGCTTACTAGCTAACCAGCAGCCTGGCCTGGCCAGAGCAGGCCTCCCACCTGTGGCACGGTGGGCAGACCCAGTCTGGCCTGAGCAACCCCCACCCACAGCATGGCAGGTGCAGCCGGCAGGGCCTGGCCGGGCAGAAGCAGCCCCCTGCCTGCCTCTTGCTGTTTCTTGCATGCAGCAGGTAGGGGACTGGTGCGTGGTTAACTCATTGAACAGTGTTTAGCTGCTTAGCTTTTTAAATGATCGTGTTTAATTACATCCCTAATTAAACACACAGCTCCCACCCTGTCTGTTTCACAGCGCCATGAACATCACGGGGTGCTGGCTTAGTTTTTAAGTGTATCAGGAAGAGGCTGATGTCTGTCTGAAAAGCGGCAGTAACAGAGCGCAGTTGGGCCCAGCTTCCCCACCGGACCTACTGTGGCAGAAGTGAAACTGACAGCTACCTCCCAGCTGCTCTGTGGCCTGGCACTCGAGCAACGCAAAGGAGTGGAGGAGGCTGTGGGAAGCTGAGAACCAGCTCCCTCAAGGATCATGCGGGGAGGTCCTACTCCCTCCTGGCAGCTGGGTAGGGTGTATGGAGGGCTCGGACTGATCTGACATCCCTGAGTCAAGGCTTGATATAAAAGCTGGGTGCTAAAAGCACGGGCCCCTCTTACTTGAGCTGAAGGAGTAACACCATTCACTGGCAGTAGTAGACGTTTATCCTCCTAGGTGGACCAGCTGGTAGTACAGGGGGATCTGCATATGCTGTACAAGAAGGGCAAACTGGGACCACACCTTGGAATGAATTCCCACTGCCACTTGTGGGTGGGGGAGGCTTCCAGAGCCAAATTCCTGGTGAGACCTTGCAGGAGCCCCTCCAGCCCTAGAGAGACACCAGGCCCCAAAGCAGCCTCTCCCGACTGACACCTCCAGTCGAGCAGTAAACTCTGATCCAGCCCTCCCTTCCCACTGCCAATGCTTCTTCCATCTCCTTTGCCCTAGAGCCCCACCTGCTCTTGTTCAAGCACTGAACTGTCCCGCTGCCTGTGTAGATTAACCTGGTACCTTGCATGTTGCTCTGTTGCAGACATTTCTGATAAGACTTTAAAACCTGGGGTCCAACCGCTCTGCGTAGCCCTAAAGGGTCCCTGGCACTTTTCAGAAGCACAGATGATTCTGGCCAAACTTTCTCTCAGGGCTTGTGTGCAGCATGCTGGCTGTACCCCAGAGGTGGCTGCATTTCAGGGATGCTGAATGTGTTTAGCGTGTGAGTTCTTTCTGTAGATGATCTAAGATCCCAGCTCCATTCTCAGCTGCTGAATCCCTGCTCAGCTCCTCTTCCTTGGAAAAGGGCTCTGATCCACTAACACACAAACACCTCCTGGGGACCTGCCGTGGCCCCTGGGACGGGTGCAAAGAGGGCCATTCTGTGATGCTGCAGCAAAGGCAGTGGGGGATTTCTCTGCAGCATCCCTTTAGGCAGCCTTTTAAAAAAAAAACAAAAAAAAAACCAACTTCCCTTCCTGTGATTTTTAGTTGTACTTTTCTCGAAGCTGGTGCCTTTGCCACTAGTCTTCACACAGAACCCGAGCGTGTCCGTCGCAACCTGAGACCCTCTGGGTCCCAAGATTTCTTTACACGCCTGCCCTGTTTCTGATCTCAGAAGCAACCCTTTCCCAAACACTTTAGTTTCGCAACAACCGAAACTTCCTGACATTTCCTACTTCGCTCTGGTGACTGCTGTGGGCACAGAGAAGTTACCCCAGTCCCTAAAATCCCACGTCAGTCATTTACTTACCTTCCTCTCATTGCCCTCAGAATTAGCCAAGGAGAAGGGTTTAATTCATCAGCTGTCACTTGCCGGATACCCCATCACCACACTTGATCTCTTCTTCCAGTTACTTCTCTAATGTCTGCTGCGATGACTCACAGGAAGTCTGTGTCAGGAATGGAAAAACTACCGGGGGAGGGAAGTCAGAGAAACAATCTGATTCAGGGATGAGAGGGGCTTAGGGAGTAGGGCAAGCTAGCGGGCTGGGAAACCACTGGGATCCAGCCCCCCTGACTTTCTGGCCAGCCTTAGCTACCCCTCGGCCCTGCAGCCGTCTATGCACAGCCCCTGTTCTGCAGGGGCATGCTCACTGCAGCTGTGCTCGGTCCTGCTGGGAGTTGTAGTCTTGGCCAGCGGGGGCAGGTGCTGCTTGCAGTTTCGATTTGGGATCTTGTTCTGGTGCTGGGCAGGTGGGTTAAGGTTGCCAGGTGTCTGGTTTTGAACGGGACAGTCCAGTATTTGAGCTTTCTGTTTGGGAAACAAATTGAGAACATAGACATGTCCGGAGTTTTCCAAATCGGATGGAATCTCGATTGTGCTGTAATGTCAAGTGTGTTCGGTATTTTTGTTGAAACCATCTGGCAACCCTACTGGGAATACGCACCCTGTACCAGCTGTTTGGGGCTCTGGGTGACACGGGCCTCATTCAGCCAGGTAAGTGGAGTGAAAACCATCCCCGGGTCTGAAATGGTGGGGATTGGTTTGCTGTTTGGTGCTGGTGCTGGGCAAATGACGGGGGACGGCGTATATCTTTTTCCGGCTTTTCTTTGCAGGGTAGACACAGCCTTACTTTCTGTGCTCATTAATGGCTCCATGTAGCCTTTGCATGAAATGCCTTTGCCAAAGTTCTCTGTTTCCTTTAGTTTCCAAATCTGGGCTCATGCACTCTGGAGTTATTTTTAACAAATACTCGCTCCTTGTCCCCATGAGGCAGACGGGGAAACTCTCCCCTTGAGCCCAGGTCCTGAATCCTACCTGCTAGACACTGCTGGGGCACTGCCTCTCAGTGCCACTTATGAGAGCCTAGTCCCAGAAGTGCTAGTACTGTCCTCCGCCTAGGGATGTGGATGGGTAACCGATGCCTGGGTGATGCTCACCGGTTAATCCGCACCTAGAAGCAGCCAGCC